TAAATCTACTTTTTCATGATATTCTAATTTTATGACCAGCACCTGTATATCTTTTTTTATTTAACCAAGGTCTCTAGAAACTGAGCTCCACATACAGCCAGACAGAGGAGGGGTATTTAATTCTTGAACAAAAAAATCGCAATATATCACAATATATCGCCTTGCTTATAGTATCGCAATATATCGGGATATATCGTATCGTGACCCCTCTGTCATGATATGTATCGTATCGCCAAATTCTTGCCAATACACAGCCCTAGTAAAATCATGTCCAGTATTGAACCAATAGGGGACACAACATTTAATTGCCAAATAAAAGAATGATTCCATATATTAAGGGACAGGTGGCCACCCTGACTTTAACTGTATACAGAAAAACAAGCTCACAGGTCTAAACTCAGTCATTTTAGTGGTAAGACAAAAGACCACAAGTATGAAAATTTTAAGTAAATTTATATTTTATCACCTTAACAAAGTTGTCAGGGAAGACTCCTCTTTTCCCGTTGAGTTCTCCCTCCATCCAGCCCTCCTCCTCAATGTAGCACACATTCTTGATGATGTCGCCCAGTCGTAGGGTCAGCTCGTCCTCGTGGAGCGCATCATATTCGAACTCCACTACAACCTCTGCTCCCGATGTGGGTGGAGGGGAAATTAAAGATGAAATATGAGGGGAAATAGAAGACAAAGAAAAACAAAGTAACTACAAATGAGCATGTAAACACACACACACGCACGCACGCACGCACGCACGCACGCACACACACACACACACACAAATATCCCCTTGAGCCAACTAAAAGGCTCAATTTCTTATGGTATAAAATCAAAACACTGATGTACTGCAACTTTTTTTTTCTTATATTTTAATCCAAACCTTTCTAAACATCTTACTGGTAGAAATTAGAGTCAAAATAAACATTAACAGACATAAATCCTTACTTTTTATAATGCAGTACTTTTTTTTTTCTTTTTTCTGCGCCGTGGGGGCATTGCAATAGAATATATGGTTTACATTGTTCACAGTAACATTTTCAGATCTGGTCTCAAGTTTCATTTATTACATGTAATTTATTTATTCATGGGTACAGTGGACATCGATCAGCATCATGCAGTACACAGCAGAGTAAGTGCACTGGAATTTGCTGAAGTGCTACATTTCATCTGTTGTCCCAGGAAGAAAAGAATCAAATACAGATCATAAAGATGCATACACAAAACAAATATAGCAAGTAGGGGTTGACAGATACATCGGCCGGCCGATATTTGTGTTTTTTCCTTGTATCGGTCGATACGTTCGTCCTTTCGGCGATCCATTCTTTGGGTCACGCGAGTGCATGTTGCCGCCCCCTCCCTGGGAGAGAACAGCTGCTAATGTTGTGAGATAGAGTGCTAACAACAATAAGGGTGAGTTATGAACCTTTAATGTGCTTTAACTGTCTAATTTAGCTGTTTCTGCTCTCTGTGTCGGACTATGAGGAGGAGAGAACAGCTGTGTGAAAAGTTTCACTTTCACGGGAGCGCTGTGTTTTTACTTTCACCCCCTCCCTGCCTGCTCGGCTGTAATTAGTGTGCCCACGTTGTTTTTCTTTTAAAAAATGCTGGAGCTGCTCACAGGAGACTTTGAAGAACACCTGTATTGTTCTCCCTGATGGATTAAAATAAAAAAAAAGCTCTCAGTCTTTTCTCACTGTTACGTTCATTAGAGCTGCCGTCCACATGAAAAAGTGAACCAGGCAGACGCTCAGATCACATTTGTTCTGACTGCAGTATAAAAGTTGTTATGCAGGTTTTCTTAGGTGCACATTTCAAACTGTGCTTTAAGTTAACGGGTTGGGTTTAGGACCAAGGTGTGAATGGAGTTTAGGTTAGTTTTAGGGTCAGGTTCCTGTGAGGTTAGCCTTAGGGTTTGTGGTCAGGGTTAGGATATTAAATTACCAAAAAAATGAATGGAAGTCAATGGATGGGCCCCACAAGAATATAAAAACAAGTGTGTGTGTGTGCGTGTGTGTGTGTGTGCGTGTGTGTGTGAAGTCCTCACAAAGATAGCAAGATGTATGTGTGTCTCTCCTTTCTCTGTGTTCCTCTGACAGTTTTCTTTTGGCAAGTTGCTGTTTTTGCATCAAAAATGCTGGGATAATAAAACAGTCATTTTATTTTATGTAAAAATATATATATCTTATTAATATACAAATAAAAATA